TTTTAACATAATATGCCACTATACTTGTAAAATGGAGAATGTTACTTATATTAAGTAAAAAGCAGAATATAATGATTGAGCACAACAAATTTTATGTTTAATATAACATATATTGGCGTCAATTGACTACTGTATCATTTTCAAGAAATTCACATAATCTAAGTGATGTGTTGAGAAAGTCGTTGAAAAGGGCCACAGTAAAAAATAGATATTAGGAACATATAATCAATTGGTGGAACGAATTGTTATCACATTATACTCATTAAATCATCGGCCTTAGTTATTTACCACCAAAGTTTGGCAATATTAAAAACGTACGAAATTTCAACTTGCCTCTAGGCTTGTACTTGAGATGGTCCTCAATGAATTGACAAGGACAACGGGCGGAGACACAATGACGTGGTGAAACAGACAGACCCATGATGTCTCTGTTACGTTCCTGTGAGTCTATAACCAGATCAAGTCTCCGGCGCACAAAGTGATGTGCCCATCGAGAAGCATACCTCAGCAACAGCAACTCCGCCCGTTCCTGTCAACACATACCATCATCATTCAGTACCTAGAGCCAAAGTGACGAGAAAACTACAAAGTTCATATATTACATATATATATATATATATATTCATCAATAGTAAACTTATTCTTGAAATATAGAAATTTCTCACTCGAACAATCCATTGCTGTGAAGTAACAGCAAACAATGATTTTTAAACGTATTAAGTACTTTTTCAGGTAAAGTTTCTTATACACCTACATGCCATTCGCCATTCGCCATTTTACAAAAATAGTTAAGATTGCAGTTCATAATCTTTTAATATTCAAGTATGTACAGCATATATTATATGCAATAACATTAAAGGCTAAAAATATTCTTGCAAAATATACACATATGTGTAATTTGTACAATTTTTATATAAATTTCAAATTGTATATTAAATGTTTAGTACTGTATTAGTCAACAAAGTAATATAAGCAATATTAAACTTCATTAAAAAGTACTTAATGCCTGATATACTTGCTACTGATAATCCAAACCACCTATAAAAAATATGGCTATTAAAACCGTTTATAGTAAAAAAAAGAAATAGTTAATAATGAAATGAAGCTTCAATATCTTGCAGGACTTATTTCAATTAAAACAAATTTCAATATTCATCTATTTGTAATGACACTACCTACATTGTTTACAAACGTAAATGATTATTATTATAAAGCAGTTTAAGTGCTTTAATATATATATATAATCTTTTCAATTTTTATGCTTCATATTGCTTTCATCCAA